GTGATAGGAGTAATGAAATGTACAAAATAGAGAATAGAATGAGCTCGGTTCAGGCTGAACTCTTAGCAATTAAACAAGGTTGTATCTTAGCTATTAAATCTAACTGGAGGAAGGTGGCCATACTTACAGATAGTAAGGGCGCGCTTATGGTACTACGTAACAAAAACTGTGATAATAACACAGTATCTGATATTCATAATCTTCTTAGTATTTCGTGTATATCCTCATGCTACCTGCAGTGGATACCTGGTCATATGTCTCTAGACTTAAACGAAAAGGCTGATTTTTTAGCTAAACAGGCCGTTTATGATGGCACTGATATTGATTACAAACTTAGTATAGGTGAAGCTAAAAGATTGCTAAATCAAGAGATTTGGAAAGAATGGGGATCTGAGTACGAAAGATTAGCAAGGGAGGATGGAGGCATCTTTGCGAAGACTTATCCTACATTATCAATTATTCCGTGGCACATAAGACTTAAATGGAAAGCAAAAGACATTAAATTGATTAATAGATTAATGACTGAGTCTACATATGACAATTGTTTTCTTTTTCGTATTAAGGCAATTGACAGCAATCTTTGTACCTTATGTAATCTGATCGACGATGCTAATCACCAAATTTTTAACTGCCAAAGACATATCTTGATCAGAAGAAAATATAAAATCTTTAATCGTTTCTTTAATATTTCAGATCTCATTTTATCAAAAGAGCAGCTTTTTTATAGAGAAGTTGCAAAATTTATTAATGAAGCACAAATCAACTTGTAGGTAATTTTTATTTAACGTTAATTATATCCATGTAGAAAGGTAATTCGTGGATTTGCCACCGGCCAACCCCGCTGTTCGGGAAGCATCCATGCGATACTATCCCGATATATCGTATCTGGTCATATGCACACGTCGTGCGACCATCACTATCAGCAAGCATTGCTGAAAACAAAGCCAAAAAAAAAAAAAAAGCTGGACGTGCTCTTCACCGCCTCCTGGACACTCCTCCGCCTCCTGGTCACTCCTCCTACTTCTGCATTTTAAATCCTGCCGTGTCGATGGAAATTCCCACATTGCATAATTGAGACTTCTCGGGCATCCAATTTGGAACTTCGACTTTGTATTTATTGCCGGCTCGCACGGAAATTAACCAGCCAATTGCCTTCGATTTCGAATTCCCACACTTTGCCAATTGAGCCGTTGATTTTTAATTTTTAATAACTAACCAAGCGCATTTGACCACAGTGCCGGGATATAGAAATCTAATCGCCTCTGCGCAGGGATCATAAATTAATTCGAAGAGCACACACTACTCCGAATCCGAAATGAGCAGGTACCACAAGAGCCGAGGAGCCGGTGGCCCCACGAATCCGGCTGGGCCAGTCTACGGCGTGATCTCGACGTTGGACGACGCCGCTCCGAATCCCGCGGATTTCGCCAGGTAAGCGACGAATTACTCTCCCGTGGTTTTGTTTACGCTTTTCCCCAAATGGAGAGCGAAAACCAGTTTGGAATTGGGCTTTAAAGCTGCCGGCGGGCTTTCTTTCCACCTCTTTCCCCGGTTTTGTCTGGCATTTTGTTTTATGTCCATTTTGTGACGCATCAGCTTTAACCCCAGTTTGTCAAATCAATTCACCAATTAAAATTTATTTTTGAGCTGGCTGAAAAATATATTTTTTATCAGAATCAGTTGGAAAAATATTTGCAATTAGATTTAATGAACAACAATTTAAAAAACTTAATCGTTTTACATAAGTATATTGGAGCCCATCCACCTGCTATCGAACTTGTAAATATAGTAAACTATAACTTGAGCTTTTCAATCACCAAAATATCTTGGTAAATAGTTGAATATCTTTTTTCACCATGGATACAATTCAATTAAGATTCATGAGTATGCACAATTTAAACGTCAGGGAAAGTTTTGGCATTTTATCTATGAGATATAAATTGGAACTGTTCCTTCCTATTTATTACTTTTGCCAAATATGCAATTAATTAGGTAATTTTTTTTTACCACTACTAAAAAATCTTAGGGATGCTAGGAGCCTATCTCAGCTGAATAGTTCACGTATGTAAATTCATGCCCAAACATTCCTTAAGATAAAATGTCTAAAAATACTTTTCAAGATGAAATTCTCGCCTATATTCAATATGCAATACGGGCTTATTTAGATGCCGTTTCCGATTGTGATTCTTATCGTCTTCAGCCAGATACCAGATACGTGCAGACAACGGCACTCCAGGCGGCTGGTCACAAATTAATTGAATTAGCAGATTAGATGAGGTATGTGACCACCGGCACACCACTCAATATCACTTCAAATTAAGATTAGCCAGCCACCTTTTAAGTTTCATAATTGGTCTTTAGATATATCCAATCGATTTAATCGATATTACTTCACAAAATATTTTTGACGGCAAGCTTTCGTTAATAATTTTTTTTTTAATTCGTATTGATATTTTACGGGATTTTACTACTTTATAATGTTGGCGGTTAATATAAAGATACCATCATTTTTTCCTTGTGGAACCCAAGTGTAACCTAAAACCACTGAACCACCTTAATCGTATTCGCTCGGTTATCTGTCCAAAAGACAAACATAATGAACTGTAAATGCCATATGCTTGATAATGAATTTTTAAGGCTTATCTGAACCATGGAGCTAAATTAACAGGGAATTCCGACTTGGGTGCCATAAACCTAGACAAATATTAGTAGTCTACAATGTTGCAAGCTTGAAATAGTGGTTTATGGATTAGGAACAGTTACAGTTACTAACTACACTAACAAATTTTTTTTTAAGAACTTTAAAATACATTTTTGTACAGAGTTCTATAAAAACTATTATTTTTTGAAATAATCTAATCGGTTTATAGAAGGTATAAACGCCCGATTTTTATTGCTCAAGAGTCTATCTAATCTTCTCCCTTCTTCCGCAGATGCCCCTCGCTTGAGGCGAAGAAAAGTGAGCTGAGCTTGTTCCTCAACTGGGGAAGCCCTAAAAAGAGTATGGAGTTGGGCTCGAGGCTCAAGAACCGCAGCTGGGTGGTCGACGTGCTGGCCATCTTCTTTGGCATCGGAACCTGGCTGGGAGTGAATGGTACCTTCATCCAACTGCCCCTGCTGGTGGACGAGGCGCCAGAGGGTTGGAGTCTACCCTCCTATCTCAGCGTTATGGTGCAGATCGGCAACCTGGGCCCGCTGCTCTACACCGCCATCCAGAAGTACTCGCCCAAGAAGCTGAACGACGGCTGGACCATCCACGGAGTGCTCCTGGTGGGAGCCCTCTCCTGCCTGCTGACGGCGTTTTTCTACAACCAAACCGCTCCAGTGGCTGGCACGGATCACAGCCTGGCCTTGTTTGTGCTCACCTGCTTCACAGCGCTGAATGCCTGCACCAGCTCGGTGCTCTTCATGCCCTACATGGGTCGCTTCAAGGAGCAGTACATGGTCACCTACTTCATTGGCGAGGGCCTGAGTGGACTGCTGCCCAGCGTGACCGCTCTGATTCAGGGCATCGGCGAGAGCGGCGACTGTGTGCAGGTCAATGTAACCGAAACCGGAGAGGCGGTCTACGAACTGCAGAAGACGCCGCCACGATTCGACACCCGAGTCTTCTTCCTCATCCTCTTCGGGCTCATGGTGCTCGCCTATGTGGGCTACGCTCTGCTGAACTCCTGCCGGTGGCCAGGAGGGAGTACGCCCAGGTGACGGTCAGCGAGGGCAACAAGTACGTGTACGGCGAGGCGGACAACCAGCCCAAGGAGCAGAAGCTGAGCAGGGGACAGTACACGTACCTGCTGCTGCTAATCGGAGCCATCTCGCTGTTCAGCAACGGAATGTTCGGCAGCATTCAGTCGTACTCCAGTGCCCCGTACGGATCCCAGGCGTATCATCTGGCGGCCACCCTCAGTGTGATCGCCAATCCGGTGGCCTGCTTCATGGCCATGTTCCTGCATTTCACCTCCCTGCGGATCATCACGGTGCTCTCTATCCTGGCGGGTCTGCTGACCAGCTACGTCTTCACCACGGCCGCCCTGAGTCCCCTGCCGCCGCTCCACGATCAGACCATTGGAGCCGTAATCGTAGTCACCGCCTGGACCTTGCTGGTGGGGATCGTGAGCTACACGAAGCTGGGAATCACCACCGTGATGCGGGCGCAGGGCGGACAGTCGCTGGTCTGGGTGGGCGCCATCACGCAGCTGGGCTCTGCCATCGGAGCGGTGGCCATCTTTTTCGCCATCAACTACTCGGATCTGTTCCAGGCCGCCGAGTCGAGTTGCTAATGGGCCAGAATATCCAGCGATGCAACGTGATTTTATAGATTATTTTACTGTAGTTTAGTGTGATATTTTCAATGAAGACAATACCCAATTACCTGAACAACGAGTTTGATATTTTACACTCATTCGAAGGTAATACTTAAACACTCGAAAGGAGTTCCTAATTGTGAGCACAAGCACGAATACTTAATGTCACAAAACGGTGAAGCATTTACCTCTGTTTACCCTTACGACCACCGTCAGAGGCAAATTAATATTTTTGAGAAATAAGCTGTTTGTATTGAATAACATCTCAGCAGGTATTCATGTTAAGTAATGAAATTTAGATAAAATCATAAGATTATTGAACATTATCCAAGAACCGCTTATTAAACTTATAGTCTTGAAAAGCCCATAGGAATACCGACTTCTTAAATAGCATTACCCAATAATTGTATTTAATACCTATTTTTCATATTGTATATTACATTTATAGTACATTGTGTGTCCATAATTTGTAAAAAAAACTTAAATTTAAATTTGATTCATTCACATTCTTAAACCAATTAAAATTATACTTGGAGATGTAGTTTACGATGAATGTTGATTTTGATAAATTTGCGAGGTCTTTATATTTCTGCATATCCATAAAACGTAAAATATTTGTCTTGAAAATTTTTGTAGTTATTCCAAAGATACTTCCAAATCTTTGTAATTTTGAATTCCTATTATTCTATTTTGAGTTCGACTTCAAACCGTTTAGGAAACGGCATCCGTGGAGGTGCACTTATCCGCCTGCTCCACCTCGCTGTCGATGTCGCCTTCGTATCCCGAATTGGTTTTCGAGGCGCATGGAAGGGGTTTGTGGTCTCGGCACTCGGACTCATCCAAACTGCAGCAGCTGCAGAAGCATTCGGTGAAGTGACGACAGGTGTCGCCCAACTTCTCGGGGGAAGCCTCTAGGACCTTGTTGAAGGCCTCGATCTTCTCGCGGAGGCTGCGACTGGCACTGGGCGACCCGAAGAGCTGGCTTCCCTGAGGAGAAGCCCTCGGAGATTCGTTGCCAATCTTCTCTAGAAAGCCGAGCACCTTCTCCAGCGATTCCCGGGCACGCTTGAAGCTCTGTAGGCTCTCCCGCAGAACTTGGCTTTCATTGAGATGCTCGAATTCCACCAGCAGTCCATGAATTTCGGACAAATCCGATGGTAAACTTATACCCGCCACCGAGGGGATCTGCGCCGCATTCGCCGTATTAACCGTTTCGAAGCCCATGATCAGGCGCCGGATCTTGGTGGCCTCTGCCTGGTGGCCACTCCTCGCCAGCTGCATCATGCTATTCACATCGCCCACCTCCTTGAGCAGCTGCATCGAGGACTGGACCACCGTCTGGTGCTGCTGGATGCCCTCTCGCAACCGATCTCGCAGGTTCTGAAGGTAAGCACTGATCCGACGCACCTGCTCTTTTTCATCGAGGTTCTCCAGAAAGACTGGGAAGTTTAAGACCAGGCTTTACTTTTATTATCACTTATTTTTTAGCAAAGAGCTTACCGGGAATCATATCCTCGGTCTCTAATTTCGAATTATCATCGGCCATTATGATTTTTGTAAACAACTAGAGGTAGCCAAAGAATACTATAAATTTACGAAACTCTGCTTACAAAATCTGATACAAACTGACTAACTCTTTTGTAGACTTTTGATACGTAAGATTCAAGGGTAAAAGGATTCGAAAATTAATTTTCAAGAAACGTCAACATTTTACTTTGAGGTTTTTTTTTCAAATACTCCCTTATATTTGCCTCACTTATCGACAATTAAAGCCCCTAGGAAATCTACAGTTTTCGAGCACCTTTGAACCACTGTTTCTGGCGGAGTGAACAGCTGTTCGCTGGTTTCTCGGTTTGTATACTTTCTGTTTTAGTTTTGATTAGGGGGGCGATGCGATGTGATGATAAAACCGTCGAAACGAGTCGTCGCAGTTCCCAAAAAAAATACTGATGTGTTCGCTTTTCTGGCTGTAATTTTACCAACTGCAAATATATCTTTAATGTGCTCTTTTGTATCTCCAAAAAGTGCGCAATTGAGTGTTTGAGTTCCGATGTGAAAAAGTGCTTTGCGGTTCCAGTTCGAAGCCACAATTTTCTCGACTAAAAAAAGAACAGCGCCTCGGGGAGTGTGAGAGCGATATGCGTGGACCGCTGCCCCACTGGAGACCCTGAATTTCGGAACTCCCAGGCACTATAGCTTCTTGACTGTTCTGTGAGGAAAAACCCTTCTCCGAACCGGCAAGATGAGCCTGTGGCGGAACCTGCGCTCCCTGGAGACCCGCAATCTGGACTTGGCCCTCGGCCAACGGGAAAACCAATTGGTGGCCGGCCACCTTCCCTCGGCCATTTTCCGCCAGCGCCTGAGTGCAGCGGAGAATCTCTACCAGCGCAACCTCACCGGCCACTATGGCTGCGTGAATGCCCTGGAGTTCAGCCCCGGTGGTCAGCTCCTAGCCTCGGGTGAGTGGAACAACCTGTTGATAGCTCCTCTATCTCCTTTAACCCTTTGCCCACCAGGTGGCGACGACAAGAGGGTCTTGCTGTGGAACATTGACCGCGAGGTGGTCTCCAAACTGGGGAAGCCCCGCTCCATGAACGAAAAGCATGCCAGCAACATATTCTGTCTGGGATTCGACACCCAAAGCACACACATATTCTCCGGGGGAAACGATGATTTGGTCATCCAACATGACCTGGAAACGTGAGTTGCCCTTTTAAGAACTTTCTTGAAACAATGATCCTTAAAACAGTGGATAATAAGGAGTCCTACTGAAATATTCGTTAGAACATAAAAGTTTTTAGTTTAATAATAAAATAATTAAATTAAAAACATTTTGAATATTTATATAATATTTTTTTTAAATAATATATTTATCTATTATTATAATAAAATATATTATTATTTAAAATATTCATTTTAATTCATCCTTGAAACTATTCCCATTTGTTTTTTAAAGAGTAAAAATCCTCAACCACTTCAACCACAAATATTTATTATAACTCTTCCTTGAAACTATTGCCCCATTTCTTTCATAAAGAGGAAAAATCCTCAACCACTTTAACCACAAATATTTACTATAATTCCTTCTTGAACCTTTTCCCACATTTCTTTTATAAAGAGGAAAAATCCTCAACCACTTTTCGCACGATGGACCCGTCTACGGCTTGAGTGTGGACAGGACCAGTGGCCATCTCCTGAGCGTGGCCACTGAGCACGGCGAGATCCTGGTCTACGATCTGAGGGCGGGAAAGTCGGAACCCCTGGCCCTGGCCAAATTCAAGACGCCCTTCAATGCCGTAGAGTTTCACCCGTTGAACGGAAACTTCCTGGCCACAGCGAATGCCAAAAGGGGAGCCATGCTCTGGGATCTGAGGCACCACCAGCAGTAGGATCTATCTATTTATAACTTCCTTAGAATTCAATTAACTCACTTATCTTAAAACCAGGGCCCTTTGCCAGTACAACTACATCCCGGAGTCACCCAGTTGCATGAGCGTGCGCTTCAATTGCAACGGCACCCTGCTGCTCACCCTGCACCGCCGCCTGCCTCCGATCCTCTACAGCCCCGGGGCACCGGAGCCGGTGGCCACCTTCTACCACGACGAGTACTTCAACTCCTGCACCATGAAGAGCTGCACCTTTGCGGGGCCGCAGGATGAGCTGGTGGTCTCCGGATCGGACAACTTCAACATGTTCATCTGGCGGCTGGACGGAGTGGATTGTGAGTTATTGGGATTACAGCTTCAGTTTATAGATTAATTGATTTTTAATTTTTAGTGGAGGAGAAGAACCAGTGGATGGAGACCCAGCCCGTAATCCTCACCGGTCACCGTTCCATTGTCAACCAGGTGCGCTACAATCGGCAGCGCTGTCTGTTCGCCTCCTCCGGCGTGGAGAAGATCATTAAGGTGAGTTGGGAAAGCTTTGAATAATCTATATAATCTGAAAAATCGCAAACCTTAGCTGTGGAGTCCCTTTGCCCAGCAGGGCTGGGAGGGATCCCTTACCCAGGCCGAGGCTTTGCCCTACTGCAGCCGCGCCCTGCATCGCGAGTCCTCCGATCACGTGTCCCAGGACTTCAGTGCCCGCAACACGGACGAGGACCAGGTGATGCTGGCCTTCTTCGACACCCTGGTGCAGCGCGAGCTCGAGTCCTGGAGCACCGTGGACAACCAGAGCAGCTCCAGCAGCAGCTCGGCCACCTCCACGGAGCGGAGCGAGGCCAGTTCGGCCACAGAGGATCCGAGTGAAGAGGAGCGCGAAAGGGACGCTCAGGAGCCTCATCCCCAGCAGGAGCAAGATGAAGACAACGAGGAGCAGGACGCCGACACACCCAATGTCAGCGAACTAAGCTGGCAGACCCATCCGAACCGCATATTCTACCTAATCGCCAAGAAGCGACGAGCCCTCCTCCAGTTGGCCGTGAGGGGCACCACTGGACAGCCGCGAAACGTGGACCAGCTGCTCCAGCGGCTGCTCAGCGAGCAGAAGCAGGCGGCCACGCAGGCGCGGATCAGCGACTGGCTGGAGGAGACACATCGCATCTTCGGAGACGACGAGCTGCCCACCACGTCGGCGGAGGCGGCGGCCCGGGAGCAGCGACGTCGGACTCAGGAATTGAAAGCAGGTGGGTTTTAATGTTATTATATACGTTACTCGTAGAGTAAAAGGGTTTATTGTATTCGTGCAAAAGTATGTAACAGCTAGAAGAAGAAACCGAGTCCATCTTGCCATGTCCGTCTGTCTGTCCGTCTGTTTGTCCGTATGAACGCTGAGATCTCGGAAACTACAAAAGCTAGAAGGTTGAGATTTCCCACACATATTCTTGGGTTTCCTACGCATCGCAAGTTTATTTCAGCCTAGCGCCACGCCCCCTCAAAAGCCCACAATCGCCCACTAACGATTTTAAAATGTGTCTGGCGCTCCCACCTTTAAAGATTTATTTATACCTATCGAAATGTAGAAGACATTTTTCAAATCGGACCATTCACTAAAAAGTTATGCTCAATCAAAATTGTATATATGCATCTCCCTCGCACTCCTTAAGCTGAGTGACGGGTATTAGATAGTCGTGACACCTATAGCGTTCTCTTTTGTCATATATATTTAAATTCGAGTCAAACCGATTGGTTTCCGTCTTCGTCTCAAGAAGATCTCCGCCAGACACACGACGGCCGAGAGGAGACACCCGATGGTGAGGGCGTAGAAGGCCAGTTGGACGTCGGACAGGGTGAGCACCTTCCAGCGGCCGACGTCCAGTTCGGCCAGGTACTCGGGGAACCGCTGGATGCTCCACTTGGCGCGCTCCTTGGCCTCGCCCGTCCAGAGGCCCACGATTCCCGCGGCCACCAGGCGCAGCACGATCCGGTTGACCTCCTCCAAGTAGGGCGAGGGGCGTGGCATGACGTAGGCGATGTGGTAGTTCTTGGGGCACTCGGGGATCTTGTGCACCTTCTTGGTCATCACGTACCGGATGTCGCTCAGCTGCAGGCTGGCGGAGCGAGTGACGCCCGCGAAGCCTCCTCTCTTGGACACCATCTCGATGAGTCGCTCCTCGCCCTCGGCCACCAGCGTCATCTTGGCGTCCAGCCGCCGATAGACCGCCGAGTCGTGGCCGTAGAAGAGGTCGTCCTTGAAGGCAGGATGCTTGATGTATATCGGCTGGCCAGACTCATCCAGTTCTTTTAGGGTATTAACATCCCTGTAGTAGAGCGGTCGAATGTAGACTGTGGCCAAGCTGGATTCTAAAAGAGCTCCGAAAATCACGCTCACCAGGCACAGAGAAGCCACAAAGATGCGCTCCGAGTGGAAGGGGGGAAAGCGACCCACATTCACCCGCACCCAAACCACCCAGGTGTCGATGAAGATGCGACGAGCGGCTCCAAAGAAGCTCGTAGCCCTCATAGATCCATCTGGAATGCGCTCTATGCCGAGGACCAGGTTAAAGGCCCTCAGGAGGAGCCACACGAGGGTGCCCAGGAGTCCCACCAGCAGGAAGCACAGCCACACGTCCGAGTTAACCGCAAACAGGGGCAGGATGGACTGCGGAATCCTCTGGGCCTTCTTCACGTACAGGCACAGTTCGTCCATGTAGACGGCCGAGCTAAACTGAATGTGGGTGGTCAGGTAGTCCTTGACAAAGAATCCCGCAAAGATGATGTCCACCTCGCCACGATGGGCGCGGCCCACGCCGCCACTATAGGATCCATCCGCCAGTCGCCCTCCAAAGAACTCGTCATCCGGCCAAACATATTCTGCCGTGAAGTTCAACTGCCTCTCCACCGTTTTGGCCAATTTGGCATCTGCTCCATTTACACTCAGCACCCTGTTCTTCTCGTAATCTCCCAGCACACTGGAGTAAACAGAATCAAAGATGTATATTCTCAGCGGATAGCCCTCCAGATTCCGGTAGATCCGTCCATAAGTTCTGGGATCGTGAACCACCACGAAGGTTTGCTTGAAGGGATTGTAGAGGAGTATCTGTTCCCTCGTCGGTTGGACGTAGTAGATCCTACTGTGTCCATGTGTCAGCCAAACCTTAGCCATGAAGTCGAGTAATATTTCCCCATCCCCGGGATCATCTTTCTCAAGAACTAATATATAAAAGCCATCTGTGTTGACCAAACTGTTTAGGATTCCTTGCATTTGCTGTGCATTTTCCAAAAAGTAGAAATGATGTCGTGTGGGTTCCGATGTTTCTAGTGCATCCTCTTGATTTTTAACTATTTTTATCGAGTTCGTTCCCTTTACCATTAAAAACTGCGCCAGATCGCTAACTCCACTTCCGGAACTCCTCAGATGAAGTTCAAGGCCACCCTCAAGTTGGCCCAAAATCGAGCACAGAACCAACTTGTAGTCCGAATTATTGGCTTGACCGAGGGTTCCGCCCACTGTGGCCAGCATAATTAGCTGCAGAGTCGTCGCCATATCAGAAGTTACTGAACCTGCGACTGAGATTGCGGAGCTAACAATAGACAGGTCGACTGACATCCTGTTGACCCAGTGTTTGCCTAGTGTCAGAACCATTGACACCCGAGGGCGGACTGCTACCCACAATTATTGGCAAGTGTCTGGGGTTTGTTGACACTACCCGACTTGCCCCATGACTTGCCCATTTATGCTTGGACAAGGTAGTACTGTTCTGTTACAGAAACCTTATACGAGTGATTCTCTGTGAAAAGTATCGAGATTTTCTTTATGTTCTTAAAACTAAATGGGCACTTCCATATTGTCGCCCAAGACATTTGCACACCTTTAAATTTAAAAAAAAAGTTGGAAAAAAAGATTTCAATTTTAATAATGGGCTTTTCCTTTTACTCTTCCCAAGCTCTATTTTGAGTAAAAATCTTGATTTTGTACCACTATTTATTTTGTAAGATATGGTTAGGGTGGAATTGCCCATACCTAATTTTTATGACAATATCACACCATTTAAGAAGAATTTTTAAAAAAGTTAAAAAAAAATCCATTTGACAGAAGCGATTGCTAAATATTCTTCTCCTTTCTAGTTGATACCCTGCAATCCAGAATCGGTGAAAGGCAACGCAAGCGAAAATTGAAAAGCCATCGGTTTTCGGCCACCAAACACAGGAGAACGACTCTTCGACTACGTCCCACCGAAATGGAGGACAGTGGCGCTTCGAATGACACAGAATATCTGGAGGAGGACAATGGCAACTCGGACGAAGAGGAGCCTCTGTCCTCGGGGGACAATCACAACAATAACACCACTGAAAGCGCACTCAGCGAAGAGGAGGAAGACAGTTGTTCCTCTACAACTTCGATGACATCCATGGAAGCACAGTTGTCTCAGGCTCCCAGCACATCCAGTTCGTTTCCTTTTCTTCCCGAACTGGAGGCCAACAACAACAACAACAGCCAGCTTACGTCCAACCGTAATCACAAGACAGTCAATGGTCTAATTCCGGATATTTGTAATACAGAGTCAACGGCATCCACATCCTCATCCATGTAGGTTGGACTGGAGCTACTACTCCTAGGCTTAAATATGTTTTTATAAGACCCATCCACGTTTGTTTATAGCATACACAGCTTTCGTAGAAAGTATTAATCACTAAAACGCGACCGTTTTTATAAATCAACCATACAAATTATGTGATTTTTTCAAAACTAGCATTCAAAAACCAAACGAAATATTATTTTTTCAACGTTCAGAATGAACAAGCAATTTTCACATTCAAATTGCAAACATCTCTAATGAAACTAGAGATTTCTAACAATTTAGCATCATAAAATAAAGTTTCCTTTACTTATTTATTATAACTTAGCTTTCTCTCACTTCATTTATTGATTGTGGAATTCTCGTAATGTCTACAATAATTTATAAATACACAATGTTTAAAAAACCAACAGAACAGATAAGAATTTTCTTGCTTGTGCGTTTGTTGAACTTTGAACTGGCATGCACTTAAGGGCGACGATTAAACGTAAAGAACATCTTTAAATATACTTAATGGTGTGTTGTGCTTAAGTCTAGCTTGTTGTTTGCAACTACGGCTAAGAGTAGGCTAGTTAATTTACACGACGGCTGGGGCGGAGATCAGCGTTCGGCAGCTCAGCAGGCTTCCACTTGGCCGTTCATATCGCTGGGCCTGAACGGCAGTTGCATATCCTTGCAGCGATCGATCACGAAGCGCTCTAGTTGACAGCCAGCGCTGAAAGGGATTATCAATAAATAATTATAATCAAGATCTCCAAAGGATCATACTTCTACTCACTCGTAAATCTCGTTGCCTTCCACGTTGTACAAATCGCAGTTCCTAAACACCAGCTGAATGTCGCTGAGCAGCTCCTCGTTCAGCTGGTAGGAGCCCATGTTCAGCTTGGACTTGATCTTGGCCAGGTCCATGGGCGCCTTGATGATCTGGTGGTAGTCGGGCACCTCCGACGTCAGCACGGGGCGCAGGAAGGGCCAGGCGGCCTTGTGCTTCATGATCTGCTCCAGCAGATCGTACAAGGCGGCGCTGTTCAGCGGCAGGTTCTCGTTCATCCGACGGCCGCTCCTGCGGTGGTTGTTGTTGCTGGTGCTGCTGTTGTTGTTGTTGTTGCTGCCGTTGCTCTGGCGGGCGGACTTGTCGATGGAGAGGCGCACAGAGTTGCGGGAGCGCTTGGCCTTCGGCTCATCCTCATCGGGGCCATCGTCGCCATTCACTGGGGAAAAAGAAGAAGGTTAGTAAGAAAAGTCTATGGATTTCCCATTCGTGGACTCACTGTTGCTGTGTCGCCGCCTGGGCTGCCGATGCTGCACCGGCTTGCACGTCTTGCACACGAACTCTGTGCGCGGCGGTCGCTTGAGGTGGGCGCACTCCAGGTGGAAGAACAACTTGCACTGCACGCATTTGATCTCCCCGCCGTCGTAGAAACATTTCTGACACACTTTCTCGTCGTCGCTGTAAGGGAAAAGTAAATAATTTAGTTTCTAATCACCGTAGTCAATCATAATTAACTTACGATTCCTCCACCGTATCTTCATCGGCTGTGAGGGAAGCATCATCGCTGATTTCCACGCTTTCGACCTCTTCTCCGGCGGCCTCTTCAATCTCCTTGGAGGTGAGTCGCTTGCTCGGTCGCGTGCGGGATCCCCTCAAAGTTCGCCCGTTGACCTTCGACGATGAGTGAGACTCCACGCTCCTGTCGTCCTCGACTTCCTCGTCATCATTCTGCTCTTCATCCTCCTCAGCCTCTTCCTCCTCCTCCTGCTCCTCGTCTTCTTCCTCCTCGTCGTCTGTAGGCTCATCCTCCTCCTCCTCCACAATAAACTTGCGCTTCTTCTTGGCCGCCTGCTTCTTATCCTTCTCGTTTTGAGCGTTCTTGAGGCCCAGACTCTTGACGCAATCGTTGCAATACCAGTTGCCCTGGGGAACCGACCTGAGCTTGGGCTTCAGGCAGAACATGTGGGTGCCCGCGTTGCACTCGTCGCACAGCAGCATCTTGTCGGGATCGCTGCCTCGCCGGCAGATCTTGCACAGGGACTTGTTCGTGGACCTCCGCCACTGAATGCAGTCGTGCAGGATGTTGAAGTGCAGAAAGACCTGGGCGAAGCTGGTGCTCTCCATCAGCGACACTTCCCACTGGTGCAGCCGTGAGTCGCAGGCGAGTCGCAGAGCCTCCTGCTTGGGATCCCACTTCTTCATGCCGTATGGCTCTTTCAAGAATCGCTTTCCGATGGCCTGCTCCACCTGGAGGAGGGCCGAGGCCATGTTGTGCACGGCTAGTGGAATGGATACAGCATTGGCGGTAGACTTATCCTCCTCCTCATCGTCTGAAGGCGACTCCACCTCCTCAGAGGCTGGCAGATACAATCCCGGATCGCGATACGGCTTCCTTGCAAATTTCCCCAGCAGAGCCACATCATCCTCCTCGTGAGTGCCGTGGGATTCGTTGTCGGAACCCGCCTCATCCTCCAGTTTGCCGCCTGGGCCCCACTGCAACTTGCACTGCGGATCGTAGCTACCAGTCAGCAGGTCGTTTCGCCACTTTTCCATATCCTTCACCTTCAGGCGACCGAGATCGCCCGTGTAGATATCATTCTCGAACTGAATAATCCGATCCACTAAATGCTGGCGCATCACCTCGTTTAAATCGGTGCCATTCGGCAGTCCAAAGTTTGCCTCTCCATATTTGCGGTGAGTTTCGGATTCCATGGTCGCGATGAACTTCTGTCGCATTGCCTCGTTCTCCAGGCTGAGCAGCTCCACCGGGCACGTCTTCACATGCTGTTCGATCAGGGAGCGCAGGACGGAGAGCTCTTGAAGCAGCTCGAATTCACGAAGTCCATTCGAGTTTAGGCCCTTGATGAGCTCCTCAATCTCCTCGTGTTTGTATATATAAGACCACCGCTGCCTTTGGCCGTTCATAGGATCATGTACAATGCAATTTCGCTTGTCGCCGCTGCACATCATCAGCTCAAACTGGGTGGGCGCCTCTGGCGGATCCGTTTCCACCTCCATGGGCTCGGCACTGCCGTTGAGGCGATGCTCCTGGTTTTCCTTGTTCTCCAGCGAGTGCTTGGCCCGCTTCCTGGTCTTCTTGTCATCGTCTCCGTAGAGTTTCAGCAGATAAAGCCTCAGGTCCTTGCGACTTCTGGGCAACGTGGCCTGCTGACGAATCTCCAGCTGCGACTTGTTCGCCGGCGGCTGCTCCAGGCAGGTGTCCAGGCTGTCCGGCGAGTGCTCCACGAAGATGCCCGGCATGGACTCCAGCACGTAGTACTTGCGGTAGCACCTGTCCATGCCCAGGTACACCAGGAAGTTGAACAGCTGCGAGTGCAGCTTGAGCACCTGCTGCTCGTGCTTGCGATGCTGCTGATCCGACTGGGCGTGCAGCTCCGCAATGCTCTTGTTCAGCTTCTCCACCATGGCTTCCCTTTTCTCCGGTTCAGCGGAGCTCATTTCCAGGTGGTGCGTTTGGGTGAGCTTCTTGCGGTTGATCTCCACGGCGGCCAGTCGCTTGTTCTCACTTACAACCAGAGCTCGCAGATCCTGCTTGGCCTTGGCCGTCTGCTCCATGCGCTCCTCGATCAGATTAATGGTGCCCGAGTAGGTGAGGATCTGGGACATCAGGCAGCGGATCACGAGCATTATGTCCCTGAACTTGAGCTGATACACGGAATGGTTCTTCAGGGTGCGCAGGATGTGGGCGTGCTGCAGGCGGAGCTCCAGCCCGGGATCCTCCTTCGAGGAGTAGCCGTTGCGGTACATCACCCTCCAGCGCTCCGCCTTCTCGTTCACAATGGCTCCGGATCCGAGGAGATGCAGGCGCAGCACTTCGCTCAGGGTCAGTGCGTCCAGCGGGAGTTCGTTTACCTAGCAAGAAAGAGGGATATTAGTTATGATATTCTAGCTTGCAGTTTGCATAGTAGAGCCCTGCATGAAGGGATTCAACGAATTTTTTGTTTTATATGAATGAATTAATAAGAATTTTGAGTTTAATAGAATTGAATGAATTTGAATTTTGAGTTTAATAAAATTGAATGAATGAATGGCATGAATTCCGAAATAATTCAAAGGACAATATCTTTAGAAGAAGAAAGGCCATTAATTTTGTGATTAAATCTGCTTGAATTTCATTTACTAAGCAGTTAACTTTGATTTGTTTAAAATTTTTCACTTTTTGTTCTCAAAAGAAAGCACAAACAAAATCTTGCAAATTCAAAAAATCACAAAAAATATTCATTCATTCAATTCGAAATGAATTATAAAAACATTCAATTTATTTCACATAGAAGTGAATTAAACAAATCAGAAATTTTATGGCATACTATGATAAAATGTATATTATAAATGTTTTACAAGCAATCCATTGCTTAATAAATACAAAAAAAAAAAAACAAAATAAAAGTTGAATGATTCACGCAGGGCTCTATTGCCTACTAACCTTGAAGGAGAAGTGCCTCCTGGCGTACAGATGACTCTTGGCGGCCTGCACCATGCTGAGGAAGGGCTCGCGCAGCTGGGACGACCGTTCACGACCGTAGGTCACGGCGCACTCCTCCTCCTCCTCCTTCTGCAGATCGAAGACGGTGCCCAGAAGCACGAGGAGAATGTCGGAGAGAGGGCCCGCAATCTCACGGGCACTCAGCGCCCGGGTCATTTCGTAGAAACTGAGGTTCTGGCGGAACACCTCGATCCCGGACAGCAGACCGGTGTAGGTGTGCATGAACTCGCGCATCATGAAGGCGTCGCCCAGAAGACGTTCGGGGATCAAAGTGTGAATCTTCCTGTACCTGGGCAGCAGCTTCTGGTCGGTTCGCTCCAGATCGTCCGTCTTCTGGAGCAGCAGGTTGCACTCGTTCTCGACGCGCTCCATCAGCTGGGCCTTCTTCTCCGCCTTCTGTCGCTCCTGCTCCATCAGCCTGGCCTCCTTCTCCAGCCTCACCCGCTCCATTTCCTCGGCCAGCGACTTGGCATCCGACTTGGCCTTCGCCTTGGACTTGGCGGCCGTCGCCTCGTCGGCCACGATGAACTTGTTGAGCGTGGACTGCTTCTTGGCGTCCTTGGCGTCGGGCTTCTTGATCTTGGCGGGCGAGTAGCGCGGCATCTTGCCGATGAAGATCGTGGAGAAGCTCACCCCGGGATCCGTGACGTACTGCTTGTAGGCCTCCGGCTTCGGGCGGAGGAGTCCGTCCACGCGGGACACGTTGCTCTTGATGAACATGTTCAGGTTCTCCAGATTGAACTCCATGCGCGAGCGACGCAGCTGCTTGAAGGGATGCTCCACCTCGGCGCCGGAGTCGCCCTTGTGGGGGCGCAGGCGGTAGACCAGGCTGTCCGTGTCCTCGTAGATGCCGTTCCCCGGCTCGGCGGCATCCTTGTCCAGCTGGATGCCCACCACCGTGTACACGGCGTTCTTCTTGCCCGCCACCGTCACCTCCTCGCCGATGAAGTAGCGCTTGCGCAGGAACTTGGCCACCATCATGTTGAGCGTGTTCATCGCCGACTGGCGGGCGTGCTCCACCACCAGGAGCACGGGTGCCCGGAGGCTCTGTTTGAACTGCTCCATCTTCTTGCGCGCCGCCCGCTCACTCTTCACCGCCTCCTCGAAGGTGAGGTTCTCCTTGCCGGTGGCCTCGCACTGCCACACCGTCGAGTTGATCACCATCACGTGCCGGAAGTAGTTTCTGGGTAAAGGGAACATGGATTTTAGGGGGATTCAAGTGGGGATAGTGCACTGACACACAAGTACGATTTAAAATTGTAAGTTTCTGCTTACTCTCTTTTTCAACGCACACACAAACTATTTTAAACTATTAATTGTAGGTAGTATATTTTACAAGTTTCTAAACACCTTTGGGAGGTCACTTTGAAACTTGCTAATTATTTACAATAAATTAAAACTATTAGAACACAAAAACGCACTAAACAAAAGATGTGAAAGTCGGGTAAATTTTAAAAGCCAAATTGTTTTTAATATAACAAAATCTTTTTTTAAAGTGTTTAACAAAAATTTAAAATAAAATAAATTTTAATGAACGATAGAAAAATAGAATCGATACAAACAAAAGAGGTCAAAGTCGGGTCAATTTTAAAAACAAGATTTGATAAAAAAAATACCTTTTTGGGAAGAAATTATAAAGCAATACAAATATAAAAACAATTTCAAAAACCAGATTATAAGATTGTTGAACCTAAAGAGTTTTAAAGGTGATTCTTTATAAAAAGAATTTCATACAATAAATTTCATAAAACAATAGAAATATAGAAACCAAATAAGCAGGAGAGAATTTCAAATCGACACAATTTCGAAAACCAGATTATAAGATTATATATCCTAGAGTTCCAAAAGTGATTCTTTATAATAAAAAATTCAATTAGGAAACCATCTACAAAGGAAAGAAATAATATAAAACAATAAAAATATAGAAACCAAATAAGCAGGAGAGAATTTAAAATCGAGACATTTTAGAAGACCAGGTTATACGATCCTAGAGAGCTTCAAAGGAAATGCAATATAAAAACCAACTACAAAGGGGGGAAATCAAGTAAAAGATGAATAATAATAATAATAATATAATTAAGTAAAGAAACAATCTACAAAGGGGGGCAGACCAAGTAAATTCAAAATTGAAGAGGGCGCGAATTCCTAACCCCCAGGTGGCAACGCTGCGGCGAGCAGCTGTGCGGCGGCAGCTGTAAATTCTTCCCGCCACCGAACAGCGTTTTTTTGCCCCAGGCCCACGAGACTCGCACACAGGCGCACCTCCACACACACACACGAAACGGTGATGTACGGATGTACGTGCCGTACATCAATGTGCAAATGCTTTTGCAGCGTCGCTTTTGTTGTATACTTTAGCGCAGCGTCCTTCTTGGCGCCATCCGCAGGGGCGGTTGCAAGGAGGGGTGGGGGATGATAGGTGAAAATAAGATGCACTTACTCATAGTCGCGGAAAATGCGCTTGGTGATGTAGCAGCAGAAGACCTGGTCGTTGTCGTGGAATGTTTCGTTTTTGCCCTCCTTCTGATTCAGGTCGAATCCGTCCCGCTTGCAAATGGGCATGTTTGCGTTGTTTTTGCGTTTCCGAGCCTCGGAATCACCCACTGTTCGATGACAATCCTCGGGGCACTCACTTGGCACTCCCGAAAGCACAGAAACGCTGCTCAACCGATAGATTTCGCAATGCCAAGCAAAAGGCGCCCAATTTTCACGCCTTTTGGAGGCTACCGATGCAAACGGTTTTTCCGCGATACGCGCGTAGAGATCTCTCCCAATTTCACAACCCGTCGACCGACGACACTTTTCCGGCACTTTCCACTGTGTTTTCGACTGGCTTCAGCGACATCAACTCTTCAAATCTGTTTATTTTTCAGCGCACCAACTTTTTCACGCGCCTTTGCGAATTTTTACCGTAAAATAATGTGACCGCACTGCGCGGAAATGCTAAGAGACGCGGTCGCTTGGAAATCGATTACGCGATAGGCCGATAGCAGGATAACGGAGTAACGGTCTTTTTATAAAATCGAAAAGGATATTTGAAAAGAAATCGTTAAAGGAATTGAAATTGTCGTTTGGTTAGAAATTTTGTAAAAAGCATATATGTAAATTGGCTACGGGCTAAAACTATCATATATATATTTAAAATGGCTGACACTAAATTAGTTAAAATTAATAATATCTAAGGACAATTTCAAGAGTCACCTAAATAAATATTCATAGTAAATTCCTTAAAAACAGTTCATATACACATATTTTTTTTGAATTACTAAGTTAATTATTTTTATTCAAATTAAGAGAAAAGGTTGTTTTTAAAAGAATCAAATTTACTACACCCGATTTAAACAACTTTTCATAATTAAAAACAAAATTTAAAAAAATCAGCTTAAATATTTTCCAAAATGTTTTTTAATAATTCCCATCTCTAATGCCCAGTTCGCGTGTGTGTGTTTCCAGCTGTGATAAGAGAAGATCATTCGCACAGTTGCTCCCATAAACTGTATTTTTAATAGTTTTTTAGCATTTAAACACAGTTGATATGTACGCGAGACTGCTGCGCAACTTGGGCGCCAATGCCAGGTGAGCAACGAGATCGGAGCCGCCTCCAAAATCCCTTAGAATCAAAAGGTTCTAATCATACCACGACCTGTTACATAAACCTTGCCAATTTGTTTTTGTTTTCCCGCAGGTGCTTCGCCACGGAGGCCCCAAGCCCCAAGGTGCGGCCCATCAGCAAGATCCTGATTTCGAATCGCGGCGAGATCGCCTGCCGGGTGATCCGCACTGCCCGCAAGCTGGGCGTTCGCACCGTGGCCGTGTTCTCCGATCCCGATGAGCGGAGTCTGCACACGCAGCTGGCGGACGAGGCGTACCGCGTGGGCGAGGCCGCCTCCGCGTCCTCCTACTTGCGGGGCGCCCACATCCTGGAGATCGCAAAGCGATCCGGGGCCCAGGCCATCCACCCGGGCTACGGCTTCCTCTCCGAGTCCGTGGAGTTCGCCGAGCTGTGCCAGCGCGAGGGCGTCATCTTCATGGGCCCGCCCAGCTCCGCCATCCGCGACATGGGCATCAAGAGCACCAGCAAGGCCATCATGGCGGCCGCCGGAGTGCCCATCATCAATGGCTACCACGGCGAGGACCAGTCGGATGAGTGCCTGCAGCGCGAGGCCCAGCTGATTGGCTTTCCCCTGATGATCAAGGCCGTTCGCGGCGGCGGCGGCAAGGGAATGAGGATCGCCGAGAAGCCGGAGGACTTCCTCAGCGCCCTCAACTCGGCGCGCAACGAGTCGCAAAAGTCCTTCGGCGACAGCTCCGTGCTGCTGGAGCGCTACGTCCGCTCGCCGCGCCACGTGGAGGTCCAGGTCTTCGCGGATCAGTACGGCGATGCCGTCTACCTATGGGAGCGCGACTGCTCCGTGCAGCGGCGGCACCAGAAGATCATCGAGGAGGCGCCAGCTGTAAGCGAACTTATTTAGATTATATAGATCATCCCAATGTACCTTGATATATTCTCCAGCCTGGTTTATCCGAGGAGCTGCGTCGCGAGCTGGGCGAGGCCGCCGTGCGCGCTGCCAAGGCCGTGGGCTACGTCGGCGCCGGCACTGTGGAGTTCATCCTGGACAAGGAGGACCTCTCCTTCCACTTCATGGAGATGAACACCCGCCTGCAGGTGGAGCATCCCATTTCGGAGATGATCACGGGCACGGATCTGGTCGAGTGGCAGATCCGCATTGCCGCCGGCGAGCCCCTGCCGCTGAAGCAGTCGGAGATTGGCCGGCGAGGCCACGCCTTCGAGGCGCGCATCTACGCGGAGAATCCCCGCGGTGGCTTCCTGCCCGGAGCAGGGCCCCTCCGCTACTTGTCCACTCCCCAGCCCTCCGCCGATGTGCGCGTGGAGACGGGCGTCCGCGAGGGCGACGAGGTGTCTGTGCACTACGATCCCATGATTGCCAAGCTGGTCGTTTGGGGCGAGAACCGCGCGCAGGCGCTGAACTCCCTGGTTGCTCGGCTGGGAGAGTATCATGTGGGTATTAACAGGATTTACTCTCCGTACGAATTTATCTCTATCTTTTAACCCATTGCAGATCTCTGGCCTGGACACGAACATCAACTTCCTCATCGATCTGGCCTCGCATCCGGAGTTCCAGCTGGCCAATGTGCACACCGGTTTCATAGACGAGCACTTCGACACGCTTTTTCCGCCAATTGTCATCAGTGAGCAGCAGGTGAGCCAGGCTGCACTGGCGCTGGTCTTCAATGAGCTACAGGCAGCCTTTAGCAACGGAAACCAGGGGCAGGATCCTTTTGCCGCCACGCCCAACGCTCGTCTCAATTACTCCTTGATCCGCACCTATAACTTGAAGGCGAATGAGAAGGGTAAAAATACAAATAATGTATATCTAAAATCAGTACTAATTACTAAGTAATCTTACAGTTTACACGGTGGCCGTAAAGTTCGATGGCGAGGATGTGCAAATTCAGGTGGATAATGGCGACTGGCAGGTGATCAAGGCGGAACGAGTGCAGGATGGAGGTCGTTTGAAAATCCGTGCCAATATCAATAGCAACCTCACCACCTACAATGCCAATATTGATGGTTCCACTGTTTGCTTGTTCTTGGAAGTATGTCTTGAGTTTTCCTGGTCTGTAAAAGTATTTTGTATTGAACTGATTTCCTTTCGCAGGGCGGCAAGTTGGACTTTGAGCTGGTGCAGCCCAAGTTTCTGAGTGCCCAGGTCGATGGACTGGGAGCAGGTGGCTCCCGCGTGGTGGCACCCATGCCCGGAGTCTTGGAAAAGGTCCTGGTGAAGCCAGGAGACCAGGTGAAGAAGGGCGACAGCTTGGCCGTGCTAATTGGTAAGAAATTCTAAGTTATATTATACATCTCTACAATAATTTATTCCCTGACAGCCATGAAAATGGAGCACATACTGAAGGCACCCAAGGATGCCACTATCAAATCGATCGGAGGCGCCGAGGGCGACAATGTGGCCAAGGGATCGGCCGTGATCACTTTCGTCGACGAGGAGGAGCTCGAGGCCAAGTAATGGGAGTTACTCCTTAGCGTACCAGGGATTTTGTTGCATTTATTTACAATATTCTAAATATTTTATTTACCCGCCTTCAGGGATGACCAAGTGCATTTACTAGTCTAAGTTATCATGTCCATATAATGGAGCATTAAACGTCTTAAAGCTGTTAATCAAGTTTCTTACCAACGGTGAGGGTTTTAAAAAAATGTTTTATTCGTTTTCATTTGTTGAATTTTAATGGATGTATAAGATTTATTCAGTTTCTCGAACACACATTTCCTAAATGTGATATATCTTTGTGAATACATAATTTAAAATTGAGTTCCGTACATAATTTAGCGGCTTATGAGTTCTGACTTTGAGTTTTTTGCTGTCGGTGAAACGGAAAACGGAAACTGAGAGAAGGCAATGACATTGCGCAGTTTGCTTACATTTCGCTTTTATTTCGCAACTTAAAACATAATAATTTAATAAATGTTTAACAAATTTCACTTAAACAAAATACTAATCGTTTAAAATATATATACTTAGTATAACCATAATCAAGTTTTCTTTATGCTCGTGTTGCTCTAGTCCATTCTGCTCTTGAGTTTATACTGTTTTGATTTAGCATCCCATTAACTTGGTTCATGCGCTTGAAATATGATTATGGAAACAGTTTTCAGTTTTTCAGAGGCGAGTACTGAGTACTGAAGATGCAATTTGGTTTCTTGCCCTAATTCTTACATTCAGCCGATTTGTTTCGTTTTAGATTAGTTTTTCCCTAGTATCGTATTTATATGCTTTCTTCGTTTTGATTTTTGTTTTTTTATTCGGTTAGTATTAGTTAAAGTTGCTCGGCTTCAATACGTAATACATCATTTATATACTATATAAATACAATTATATGGTACTGTAAACGTGCAACTTAACGCTTCTTAGTAATATTATGAGTGTGTTTCTTTGTTTGCGTTCGTTTGCTGTGTAGTGTTTTTAATTTTCTTTTATAAACGTTAAAAGGGATACATTTGTAATAGGGGAAAATGAAATGTATCCCTTTCAAGGATTAACAAAAAAAATAGTATATATGTGTATTTGTTAAGGTAATTATAAAGTTCGATAGCTACTAAACACCTCTGCTGGTACATACCATCCTCATCTTTGACTGTCGATCTCCGAGCATCATTCGTTAATATCTACGGATTCTACTGCGCATATTAACCCATTAAGTCTCGTTTTCAACGGCGGGAACCCCACTAGTAAAACACCTGTCCACACCGTTCTCATTGTCAGGCTGCTTTTGGTTCGCTTAACGCTATGGATGATGCTCATCGTAAGTTTGCTGCTCTTGTTAGGTTGCGATTACATTTTATTGCAAAGAACTTTTCGTTTGTTTTCGTTTCCTCTTGGTTTTAAATTAAGTTTTTCTCTATCCTCGTCGGGGGTTCACTCGTTCCGCTGCCCGATCCCGATCCTGATCCTGATCCTGTTCCCGCTGTTGTGGCTGCTGTTGTGGTTGCGGCAGGTGTTGCAGTTGCTGCCGTTGCAGTTGCTGTTGTCGCTGGCGACGCTGTGACCTCCGTTGTGCTGGCCGTCGTGGTCGCAGTCGTCGCGTCCTCCTCGTCCTTACTTTCCACCAGCTTTCTTATTATCACCCTGCGACACTTCTGCGAAAATGGCCAACGGTAAGATTTGGATTAGTGGATGTGGGCAGGTGGATTTCCCAGTGCTATGGGTGCTACATCAACATCTGCGTGCCTGCTAAGCAGTAATTGCAATCTTGCTTCGGGTCGTAACTAAGCTAATCAAAGCATTTGGCTTATTTACACGACAGTTTTTTTTATATTTATATCAGTGATGTCATTCTTAATTCAACATTAAGTTATTCCTATCATTTTGATATGAATAAAGACTATATTAATCTTATTTTACATTATTTGTTCAGAAAATACTACATTTATATTTTATACGACATGCTAAATTATCATGTTGATAAGTTTTAATCATACATTTTCAATTGATATGAAATAAGGTAGAACTGACCCCATTGCATATCGATTTTTTTTCTTCCATTAATTCAGAATTTTTATCAAATTTAATTAATTTTCAAATTTATCACTGGGATTATTCAATATAAATAAATAATAATATCAAAAATCATTAAAAGTCACATTTCATATTTTTAAACTTGAAAGAACTGGCTGATATTTCGAATTCATCACTGGCATTCCTGATATTTATATTTATAAGACCCTTTGATGTTGTGTGAGGTGGGTGTGCGTGATCTTGTGTGTGGGCGAGTGAGAAGCTTGCAGTGGAAAGTAAAAGAAAGGCCAACGGGGGGACATCTCGTTTGTGCCGGGACCGTGAGAACAAAAATCGTGAACACAACAAAAAGAAAGTAAGGCGTAGGCTTTGGGCTCAAAAACGAAACAACAACTCTAACTAACTTGGCGGCAAATCAAATCAAGCGGCTTGAGGAACTCTTGCTAATATCACCACGTAGTTGCTGCTGCTGCTGTTGTTGCTGCTGCTGCTGTTGCTGGTGCTGCTGCTTCAGCTTGAGTTGCTGCTCCGACGGCAACTGGTGATGGTGGAACAGCACCGGCGGCAGCTTGCCTCCCTTGGAGCGACTTCGCAAGCCCTGTGGTTACATTTCGGGTGTACAACAAAGGAAACAAACAGGGAAACCGCAAAACGCGAGGTAATCGTGTAGGATAATAGAAATATTTAGAGAAGAGTTAGAAGAAAACATGAGGGAAGGGCTAGCTTCGGAGACCGAATATCATATTTACGTCGAAACAATTAGTATTAGACCATTGAACCTAACAACATTCGGACAGACATGTCAAAAAGTTCTATAACTATAGCCACTCGTTTGAGGAGACAGATAGAGAGATACAGATTGGGGTTGGAGTGTAAAATGTGTTTATTGTGTGTACTAGTTTGCTGGGGGCTGCTTGGCAGGCGTCTCGGAGGATCAGGATCCCTCGGCTACGGACACACTCTACAGAGTCCCTCCTAGACCTCGTCCGCCCCAGTTACCTTTTTGGCCGTTATCTCCATTTGGTCCAGGCTGTTGGTCAGACCATTGATGCTCGTCTCGCCGGCAGTCGTCTCCTGAGCACTGCTCTCCGTCTCGCTGTTGGCCCCACTGCCCGACGTCGTCGTTGTGGTGGCGGGTGTGGGTGCGGTGGTGCCGCTAGTTGTTCCTCCAGTCGACGTGTAGGCCCCGAAGAGCTGGCGCGAGAGCCGCGGAATGGCGTTGCTATCCACGCGCACCGGCCAGGCTCCTGCGGATGGACTGCTCGTGGTGGGCGTCTTGTTATCGGCCGCCTGCTCCGTGCCCTCCTGCGCTCCTCCCGGCTGCACTGCCTGCTCCGCCTTGTTCTCGTCCAGATTCGACTCCAAATCAGACTCGTTGTTCTCATCCTGTTGCGATTAGAGCGCAAGTTAGAAAAATGTTGTTCTTTTTACTTAAATGCTATCCATATTATACCGTTTTCTCGCTGACCTCGTCCGGGCAGAGCTCGTAGGCCATGGTCCACGTGTTCTTGGCCGACTGCGACCGCTCCAGCATGTAGCCGTTGGTGTTGTCGTTGCTCTGCGCCGGCGGCGACCACGAGTACGAGTTGTACTGGCAGCCGATGCCGCGCTGCCGCTCCAGCTCGTCCTGCAGCCACTCGACGGCGATGCTCCAGTGCCGGCTGATCGTCGGGTTCGTGTTGAGCATCTGCAGCGCAATCGGCGACTTGTGGAACAGCTGCGTTAGGCACTTGATTATCTGGTACGCCCGCTTCTGGTAGTGCGTCTTCGCCCGCTGTATCGTCTCCAGCAGGCCCTCGCGCTCCTCCGCCACCCCGTTGAGGGCGTTGTGGATGCGGTGGTGCTGCCACGAGTCGTCGATCAGCAGGATGTTCAGCAGCAGGTCCGTGTGGTGCCGCATGTCGTGGCAGTAGGCGAAGCCGCACTGCCACAGCAGCTCGGTGAGCACGGCGCGCGAGAAGTGCGGGTTCTCCCAGCTGCAGTACTGCAGCAGCTTGAGACCCTCGTCGCCCACGTTGGTGTCCTCGATGACCTTCTTGATGTAGCTAAAAATTACAGTACATAAATATTTAAGCTTTCTCCTTAAGGAAATCAAAACTCACCCCGTGCGATTAAAGAGCAGGTCCATGCACTCGGTGGACAGCGGGGTCAGCTCCTCGTGCGCCACCGTGGCATCCTTGAACGGATTGGGCAGTGGACGGGCGTTCTGGTTGGAGCTCTGGCACTTTTCGCTCACGTCGCTGCAGCGGATCAGGTGCGAGACCACCTGGTGCAGCTTGCTGAACTCCGGATACTGATACTTGATGGCCGGACCGGGGCCGTCGTCCAAGGCCACTTGGATGAACTGCAGCGGCACATTGAGCTATGAAACGATGGGCCATCGATTAGTTTGGTAATCATTACGAATGCAAATGCTCACCCTTAGCAGCTGCTGCTTCTCTCGTGTTCCCAGGCCCACGTACATGCTGAACAGGCTGAAGTAGTGGGGCAGGTGCTTGCCGTAGTCGGCTGCCTCGGACTTCAGCAGGCGCAGCACACTGATGAGCACCTGCTCGCAGAGATTGGCTCCGTCGTAGCCAGTCAGTGGCTCGTCGTTGATGGCAAAGTGGCAGAAGAACACCACCAGCTTGACGAACACGGTGCGCACCTCCGGCGACGGCGCCATCAGGATGTACTCGCCCAAGCGCGACGGCGGCGAGAGGAGCGCATGGTTGGCGAACCACTTGCGGACCAGAGCCGAGGAACGTATGTGATGTGAGAGCGCGTCGTACCTGTGAGTCAAGAGATATGTTAGATCCTGTCTAGTTCTTTTTCAGTTCCCCTTACCAATCAATTACTGGGCCGCGCAGCGACTTCTTCGTGCGGAAGCCGGTGTGGAACAGGAACTGCGAGGCCAATTGCACGCCCAGCAGCGAAAGCTCCTCGGCGGCAGAAGTCTGAATATAAAGCATTGTAAGTACAGAAAATAATACGATAATATAGTGATAACTCACGATTTTATCGCTCCGCGCAGAGGGTATATTGCAGCTGACCAGCTTTTTGATAAAGTTGAAAAACTCCACGGAGAAAATGCTACGGGAGTGCAGAAACCGAGTGTTCTGATGCCTGAAAGGGCAAAGCAAAGAAGTATGAAGTATATTCAGAC